CCAATGGATCAAGGCATAATCCATTCCCTGAAGTGTCACTATAGGAAGATTTTGCTGATAAAGATGATAGAAGCAATTGATGATGGACAAGAGTTTCCAGTAAGCTTATTTGATGCTGTAAATGTTATTCACCGTGCTTGGCAGGAAGTTAACAAAAACACTATTGCAAACTGTTATAAGCATGCAGGATTCTTTGAAGCAGAAGATGTTTTTGACCCTGAAGATGAATTGCGTCTAACGGAATGGCTAAAAGAATATTCAGGAAATCCCGAGAACACCGAGGAAAATACCGACACCCGGAAAGCCCTTGCAGCAGAGATTAGGAATAGTATTGAACATTTCGACTTCGAAAGTTACTTTTCAATAGACGATCAATATCGATTTAAAACATGAAATTTAATATTAAAATAATGACTGATTTGGGTTATTTTTTTTAAAGAAACAAATGCAGAATTGAATGAAGATGATCTGAACGAGAAGGCTTTCAATAAAAAACATGACGGAAAAGATAATAGAGATTCGCACGTTTTTGGAGTCACGCGACGTTCCTGAGAAAGTTTGGAATTCTTTTTGTAACCTTGAAAGCTATATAAGTAATATTAACTTTTCTAACAGATTCGTACAAATCAAAATAACCGACTTGTTTATTCAAGAGTAGGTGGATATATGTATTTTTTATATTGCTTACTTGCTCTTGTTGACTTGTTCCTTGTTTTGTACAGAATGATATTTAAGTTTTACGTCTCCAACATTACGCTATATATATATATATATATATATATATATATATATATATATATATATATATATATATATATATATATATATATATATATATATATATATCTAGAAAAGTGCTAGTATATCTTGTCATTTTTTACAAAACCCAACGCACATAATATTATATAGTATGCAATAACTTCCATTCTTCAGGTAAAAATCAGATGTGTACGAAAGTTCATTTAATGCTTATAGTAAACCTCGGATACAGCGGATCAATTTTGATGCAACTTTTGAGTTCACTATATGCGGACCACACTGTATCAGAAATCTGTAAAAACTCATTCTATACTTCTTTTTCTAATATGCAATAGCTCACGTCTTTTCTTAGACGGCTGGCTGTTTATTTTATGCCATATATCAACGAGTAAATTAGGCAATTTTTGGCAGGCGTTAAAATCGGACAAACACAAATACACCCAAGGCTCCCGGTGGGAATCGAACACACAACCGCCGGCAGCAAGTCAAGTTGGCAGGTTTAACGCCTTACCAACCGACCCATCCTCGGTCCCCTGTAAAATTCATTCCACACTCAAAAATGTATTTTTCTACTCCCGTCTGTCAAATACCTAATTACCTACCGATCTAGCGTGCGGGAAGCGTCACTTTATCGAGTCAGTTTTATTTCCCACGGATCCGAGCCAGTTCGGACATTTCCGGGATTTTACCGCACGGGTTTGGGAGCAATCGGATGATTTCGGAGATCTTTCCCGCGCATTAAATTTGACGTTTGTTAAATCTGCCGGCCATGTCAGTGTTGTTTGGCGAAAATATACCCAAAAACTAACGGTCGTAGAAAAAGTATAATATGCAACACGTTCGGTAAACTTTTTAACTCACTCGTTTATTAAAAACTCACTCTGCTGCGCTGCGTGTCAAATAAACTCGAGAGTCAAATGCCGTTTACCGCACTTGTTGCATAATATACAATTACGAGTATCTTTTTTCCAATTTAAAAAACAAGGAACAATTAAACATTCAAAAATTGGAAGAATTCCTCTAAGAAAAATGTTCCACCTAGTACTCTGCACAAAATAAAAATTAAAAACCAAAAAATAAAAATAAGAAAATGAAAAAATATCGATTCAATTCTAGCGTTTTATAGCGATGTTTCTAAACTTGAACATTTAGCCCACAGGAAATCGACTTTAAAAAGACCTTCGAATTACAAAATTCAGTTTCTGTAACGAAAATATCGAGTAAAACGAGCAGCGAAAAAATCGCAAAAGGCCATCTGCGAAAACTCCATCTGCGGCAAATCGCGGTTAAAGCTCAAATAAAATCCATTTCAACTTCGGTCGCTATTCGTTTAACTGTTTTTGCAGCATTATAAAATCACTACGAGATACGTGAGGCACTTTTAAAAATGTCGTAACTACATTCGGTAACACGCTCGCGTCGCTACGTAAATGAAATTTACATGATTCATAAACAGCTGACACCAGAAATCTCTCACGCTCGCTGCTTAAAATGCAGAATCGGACTGGATCCGAGGCAACGGGGACTACTTCCGATGGTAATCCCGCGAAATGATAATGCCTTGAGTGGAATAATTAAACCTTGGACAATGTACATTCTACAAAATCGCCATCGAGTTTGCGTTTAAAATTCAGCAGGAGTTTTGCAAATTTCTGTACGACAGAAAAGTAAGAACTCGCCTCGCGAAAGATAGATTTACCGATAACCTGAGAGGAGTAAGCTGAGTTATTAAAACGATGTAAAAGAGGATCTAGAAATAGAATATCAGATTTCAAAACAGCTACAGGCTCGACGCAAATAAAAGAGGATACGACTGCCAAGACCTAGAGTATTCTTAACTAAAAACTAGGGACATAAATAGACTTCAATAAAATATAATTATTGAGCAAATGATTTAAAATATACGTTTATTTTATTGTATTTAAACAAATCATTTTCCACTAAGTTTTAATAATCAGTTTTATATAAATTATACCAAGTGTTTTAAAATACTTACATAAGATAATGTGTTGATTATTTTTGTCTTTAATGTTTGAAATTTAATAAACTTTCCTTCTACGCGTGTCTTGAGAGAGTAAAACAGTAACAACTATGTACAGTAACAAAAATGCTCAAATCTAATCGAGTACACATATACAGTGTGTCCCGAAATTTGCGAAAAATTCAAGAGCTCAACAAGAAATTAATATGAAGGTTCATATAAGGGTTTTTTTTTCGATGTATAGAATTTTAAGTTGCAATAAAACGACGATGGCTTATTCGATTGACATGAATTTTATTTATCCGAAAGATAATCTTACATTACATTACATTACATATGTATGTATGTATATTACATTTTAAATATGATTTCTGGCATATGACCGCCACGGCTGGCGCGGATGTAGTCCAATCTTTACGTCCAATTTTCGATGACTTTTTCCAACATTTGTGGTGGTATATCGACAATAACACGGCGAATGTTGCCTTCCAAATGGTCAAGCGTTTGTGGCTTATCCGCATAAACCAATGACTTTACATAGCCCCACAGAAAGCAGTCTAGCGGTGTTAAATCACAAGATCTTGGAGGCCAATTCACAGGTCCAAAACGTGAAAATAGGCGGCGATTGTGGCACGAACTGTGTGACATGTTGCGCCGTCTTGTTGAAACCACATCTCCTGGACATCATGGTTATTCAATTCAGGAATGAAAGAGTTAGTAATCATAGCTCTATACCGATCACCATTGACTGTAACGTTCTAGCCATCATCGTTTTTGAAGAAGTACGGACCAATGATTCCACCAGCCCAGAAAGCGCACCAAACAGTCAGTTTTTCTGGATGTAACGGTGTTTCGACATACACTTGAGGATTAGCTTCGCTCCAAATGCGGCAGTTTTGTTTGTTGACGTAGCCATTCAACCAGAAGTGCGCTTCATCGCTAAACAAAATTCGCTTATGATAATCGGGAACAACGGCAATCTCGTTTTGGGCCCATTCGACGGATCTACGCCCTATTTGATGATCGTTTGGCTTCAATTCTTATATGAGTTGTAAGCACGTAAACCAAGATCCTTCCGCAAAATCTTCCATAAAGTGGATGGACACAGATCCAATTCCTGGAGCACCATGGCGGATGGACTCTTCCTCAATGCTACGCTCTACAGTAGCAATAGCTTCTTCTGTATGCACATTACGGCGTCTCTAAGGATGCGAGTTATCAATAAGAATTTACTCTTGAATTTGAATTTTTCCCAACCAACTCACATGTTTCCAGAGCACGCTTTGATAATTATTAACCATAAACAACAAATTAATAGACATTAATTCATTGCAGGGAAATAAAAAAGAACGATTTTCTTGGAATTGGTTTATTTGAACGTGGTACAACAAGCTAGTAGGTTGTAAATTGAGCTTTTTAAATTAATTAAAAATTTTAAGCGGAAAAATTGGAAGACATTTTCTTAAGTGAAAACCTTCTGGCATCAAGGGTTTTACGTCAAATGTAGTACAAAATTAAAAAAAAAACATTAGTAATAAGGGTACTGCATTTAAAACTCATCAGCAAACTTAGAAAAAAGGTTTTTAATGAAAACACATTATAAAGTATTCTTTAATATTAATATCTAGAGTAGAATAGACCCCTAAATTTTTGACTGTAATAATGTCATAGCGACATATGAAAGGCACTGAAGTTACCATTTTTCAAATAACCGATACAAATTTGAATACGCTTTTCCTAGTATTTACCCCATATTTTCACCTGCCACCAAGGTTACTGTCCATCAACAAACCAAAACTATATTGGATTTAGAAATTGCTGTTGAGTTTGCCTTCAGTTAGAAAACCTATTGATGTGTTTGTTCAATTCACTATAAAGGCTTTAAGATACAAATAAGATATTTTCCCTTTCCACAAATGTATCATCCTCAATCCTCGTTTGGCGAAAGAAATTTGGAACGACTGCAAAGGTCCATATAATCATCGGAAAATTTGAAAGGTTTCTCACTCATTTGCTTAGTCTAAATTTAAGCATTCTCATTAAATGGACAGTTCTGCTTAGTAGAATAATTACAATATTTTAAGAAGAAATTCATATATAAAAATAAAACATTTAATAATTTAATTTAAATTGTACGATTATCAAAATTTTAAAATTCGTTGAGCTTTTATTTACCCCCGCCCCGTATACCTTATAAACGCGCAAAAAGCTAGCGAGCAGACACGAGCTAAAATCGAAGTTTGCTTTATAAATGGCTTACTCGATAGGAGGCGGCTCCGGCAGATTTTTATTGAAACCGTCTTTCCCCAGTAGCCAATAGGTATCCATTGTACCTTTTCCCTTGATGTCGGTGAGCCCCCGGTATTCGATGTGATAACCGCCAGCCCTTTCGAGGCGAATTTTCGTTGCCTCTGACATATGGATCCTCCAAGCAGCTCCTGGAAGTTAACAAAGGAAATTGTATGCATAACACTCCATTAAGGAGGATGTTGTCATAACATAATAATATGGCAACGTTAATATTTCAACGGGCGTTCATTATATCGTTACTAAGTTATCTTTTCGGTTTAAGTATTTGCGCATCTACCGGTTGTCCAATTTTCCACGTATGCTTATGCTGGTTACCTTTAAAGATCGAAATATCCGGTTTTCGCAATAGTGTAGTACCTTTGTCTAAAGCGAAACACAAATAAAAAAATCTCGAAGTTTTTTACTTTTTTAGACAGAGTTTTTTTTTATGTTGCGTTGTATACTTTCCATTTGATGCACTTTTTCAGTATAATTGAGTGCAGGTCGCAGAATAAGTACACGAGGTCAGGTCAAAGTTGTTGTGTTGTTGTGTATGTTTAATATTCTTTATATATTTTGACTTAACCATAAGCACATGCTGGGTGATTGATGGACTACGGAGAAGCGAAAATAGATTTTTGAAAATTTGACTACTTCGATCTTGAAAGTCTAATAATTCTAGCCAAATCGAACCAAAATATTTTTTTTTGGACGGATGCAATTTGCCGTTTGCAAAATTAACACTTGGCGTCAGCACATTATTAAGTTGATTGCTTTCTTCTAAATTTTTCTACTTAATACTTTCATATACCTCTCTAGTGCGGTTTTGGAAATATTAATTATTATTCCTAAAGTCTTATAGTGATAAAAATCTATTCTATGCAATACTATACTGAATATTATTTAAAGAAAAAAAATAGAATTAATTTTTTTTTAACAGCTTAAACTGCTACTTCAAGACAGATTCCAAACAATTTAAAACTTGTACGTGTGATGTTCTTCTTCAACTCATTACTTAAAAATAAATTAAAATGAAGCATAATAATTATTCAAACAACGTTTTGATTAATCTTACTTACAATTAACATCATAAAAATGGCGTTAACGTAGTGATTGTTTTGAAAATGCTAAAATTGTGGCAAAATATCTGCAGGTTCAGAAAATTCAACCATAATTAAGGAATTATTGCTAATTTACACAAGTTTGCCGATAATATAAATTTTGGAACTAATTACATTATTTCTAAAACTTCACCATTTAGGTATACCCCTATCCTATATCAATTTAAAGGAAATTTGATTAATTTTTAAAAAATACACCGGATGTTCTATTCGAAAATGTACTTTTTTTATTATTTCATCAAATCATCAATTACCATCTTATATCAATTAGCTGATATATAGTTGCATATAATCAAAATTATTGCTTCATGTTCTCCCAATTTTTAATTTTAGAATTAAAAAAAAACATATGTAGCAAAACACGTTTTCCGTATATCGCACCCTCTCGATTAAACCCAAAATCTCATTTAAAGTTCGGAAGCGAAATCGAGATATCCCGAAAATTAAGGAAAAAAGCTCTCACCGGTCGATTCCATCCTTGAAGCGGTGTTGACCGTATCCCCGAAAAGACAATAGCGAGGCATCGTAAGACCGACCACTCCCGCACAGCAGGGTCCGGTGTGTAAGCCTATCCTCAGCCTAAGAGGAGTTCCAGGCAGATGGCGGATACAGAATTTGCCACTTTCGTGAAGCAGATCCAGGGCCATCGTCGCTATCTAGAACAAAAAAAAGTCCGGTTTGGCAGAGAGATCAGCGAGAGGATTTACTCCCATCGGCTTCATGCGAATCAATGATGACAAACAACCGTTTGATATTTTGATAAATTATTATTCAAGAAAATGCTTATTAAACTGACTTAAAATAATTTAATTATAAAACCATTAAGTTTTAAAATAATTCAATAAAAAATGTGAAATACCTATACTGTGTCTCGCTTAATAACTGTACAGATTTGTAACACATTTGTTTTGATTTTTTTTTAATGTTGGATAGATCTTCCGAAAATGCACTAAAAATTTGTTTTGCTTATTAGTTCAGCCTGGAGAAGACTATTTAACAAAAGAGAGAGGAGAGAGAAATACTATTAGAAATTTTTTAAAGAAAAAGGCAACGAATTTATATTCAAGCGAACCAAACTATACCAATGTCTATCATGTTTCAATACAGGACGTCTGAAATATAGCTTGAACCCCCCTTAGTTGAAGCCCTATAGCTATTATATAATATAGTGGCTTGGCTCTACTATGGGAAAAATTGTTGCGCTTCAGTCGGCATTGATGTTTTCGTAGAGAAGGCAATGATTTTCCGCACATGCTCTACATTACACCCATTAACCTGCACTTTGGGAGATCTACGTATGTTTTGAGAAAATACTACCAATAAAATGCCGCATCAAAACTTATTGACGATCTGTCATCCACCATGTTGATTGTCGAGGTCTTGCCAACAACAACAAAAATATAAAACTGTAACCATAAAAAAAAATTTCGACGTAAATTTAGTTTTCGGTTGCTCAACAGGTATAAGCCTAATAAGAGGCTTCAATCAGTATAATTGTTACTGAACAGCGTTTTCTACTTCTATAGTGTGATGTCGCTGAACAAAAACAATTTCTAACAATAACTACGCCTAATTATCATCCACTGTATAGTACGTCATTTTGACCGAAACTGGGATTTGGTATAGAAGCTCAAAGATAAGTCCAATAAGTTGGCAAGTAGAAATTGGCTTAGAATGTACGGACAATTAATTTATAGCAAATTATTTAATACAAGGAGATCGCTAAGCGATATGATCGGTAGTTTATGATTCATTATATCAAAGTTGTCAACGCATTCTGTAGCATTCTGTTACGAAGACCTATGAGAAGATTAAGAAGATATAAATAATGTGTTGTTGGTTCGAACCGTATGGCAAATAGATATATGGGGTCCCTACCTACGCTGATAATACATGAACTTTCGAAGCGACGATGGCAAGTACTGTTGGAAACATAGCCTCTGAGTTAGTGTGTGAAATTTACAGGTAGGCTTTTACACGAATATCAAATATATCTTCTTCTTAAATAAGTAACCATGTCCCTGAGGAGCATCTAATAGCTATACAGTTGGAACAATTGGATATGTACGACCATTATACATAATATATTATATTGGTATTCTCAAAATATTTAATTTTTGGTTTTAAATCAATATCGATTTGGTCATCCAACTTAAATCTGCTTTTTTTTAATGGAATACCGTGCTTATTATCCCATTTTTCTGTTTGTCTGAAAATTCAAAACTTGGTTATTCTTGGTTTGTAGCGCTTATTGTTCCTATGTATCCTACATATATGTTCTCAAACGCAATTTTACCAAACCACCTCTAAATTGAATGGAGTGCTTTTCTACAAAGAATATTGAATTTAGCACAATCGTTATGTTACGGTTTATTTTCGATATTCTCGACATTCTACTATACAGAGTGTGCCAAACTGTGTTAAATCCTTTATTTCAAAAAAATTTAACCTCTACAAATGAATGCTTTTATTTATAGAACGTGTATTACGAAAACATGATGAAAACATGATTTTAAAGTAGTCAGTCAACTAGAAACCTCCAAAAAGTATTCATTCTAAAATTAGTTAGCATCATGACGTTGCCAACGCATCGAGAAAAGTTAGAAAATATATAAGAATACATTCTGCGATCTGCTCCATTGAAGTTGATCTTTAGCGAAAAGTGATAACCCGTTTCCACTTTGCTGCAATGCCATTGTAAAAGACCAAACGATGAACAAATGGAATCACTTCCGACGAATTTACATTTTACTCGCTTCGCATTTGTTATAAATAAACGCCAAGGCACTTCGAATAATATTACCCTCTCGCATTCGCATCGACATGTCGCAATTCCGTATATGCGACAGGAAATCACACATGTGTCGAATCCATTACGACTCGTCAACTTTATGAGGTAATTTATATGGACGTCACATTTCATAAGCGCCTACAGTCCAATATACCCCCACATATATCTATATGCACCCCATCCGGCATAAATGTGTGAAGCACGGACCGTTTGACATTCGCAGGTACATTCCAATTATTCAAAACGGCTATAGGCAGCTTCCTTTTGTTGAAGATGTCGAGGCACTTCCAAATATAATATTGCTTGTATCATATTAAGAATTCTCGAGCACTATGAAAGAGAGGGGTAACAAAATGAAAAGAAAATTGATGTCGAAAATTCAACAAAGGATTTTAGATGTTTTTAACGTGCTGATTCCAAAAATGTAATAAGATTTTTTTTCAACCCCAGTTTTTTTTTGGAGATACAGTTTAATTGATATTATTCTGATAAAGGACAAAAATTAAGAAATAAATATATACTCAACACAATGTTCCTAAACTAAGTTTGGACTCGCTTTGAAAAGAAAAACCAAAATAAACACTGGGTTCAGGGGCTAATGAAGCAATTTGTGGAGGCTTTAAATTCAGTGAACGAGACTCTTTGCGTTCATTTTCTCAAGTATAAAAGTACAAAATTTTCTTGGTAATCATTAGGCAGAGAATTAGGTAGAATAATATTCCCGATTCTAACATAAGTATAAAACTTCACTTCGCTTTCAAGAAAACAAGATAAAATCTATCAATCTAGCACCTAAAAATTACCCAGCAAGAATTGGAAAATCACAGCAACCCAAAAAATATTTTTATTTTTTTTTAATTTATTTATGACCATTTACCTGATATATTGCCCCTTAATGTTTATAAAGATTCACAATATTAGTAATAAAAACAAGTTATTATGGCAGTTGGTCAGGATGATAGATAGTCCGTTGATATGGACCGCTTTGAAAAATGTGGATTTTTCATGGGAAAGGTATACCTATAAACCACTTTTACTGGAAAGCGACGAAATATTTTGCAGAAGAGAGAGCAGAAGAAAATCTTTTACCTTGATGAGGGGTTATATGCTACAAAAATATAACCAGTGCTATCCAAGAAATGGTCAATAAACTAATAGTCGTCTATAATCTATAGCATAAGACATACCACAGACTACAGAAGACATGGCATAAACACCTAGTTTATTATAAAGTTTGATCAAGCCATTGATGAAGTTGTTAGCACTTCGACTGGCTAACACAAAAAAAAACTTGAAAGAAAAAGCTAAAACATAACGGGGAGGTAGACTCTTATTGAAGTATTAAATTGAGGGTGGTCAGACTATAATTGTACTCGGTGATTCACTACTCGAAAGTTGTTTAAAGTTGAGGAGTTCGTCCTATTTCTGCCCTGGCCACCCAGTTGGTGAAGGGGTGTGTAAAATGTAAGCAAAATTAGAGAGATTTTGGCGCCACCCGTTTTTCACCGGACGTAGCTCCTCGAATAGTGAAAAACTGATTATCACAAAACGGGAAAAGAGGAGTATTAGCTACAAAAAAAGTCTAGGCCTTAAGTTAATAGCAAGCGTCTATTGTTATTAAACAAAGTCTCCAAAAGAAAAAGGGCAAAAACCAAATGTACGAGTGTGGTGTTATATAAATCATAAATTTTATATAACACCACACCACACCACATAAGTTATAAATAATCGTTTCAGCTTTACGGTCTTGGGCGCTCAATCCTTACATAAGCCGGCCGCATAACAGGCATGTAATACACAAAAGTTCAAAATCAATCAATCCGCTTTAGAACAGTGTAAAGTAATCACAAATATTAAATTTTAGTGCTATTGCTCTATTTTCCTCTGGTGGAAGTTAATCAGCATGACCGTCTAGAATATTCTGGAATAGACGGTCTTCAGTCTCAAAGGTCGTCGAGACACAAACTTCACCTTTCACCTTGGGCGCCCTTCTTGGAGGTATTGACAAAAGAAAATGCCTGTCGCTGGCTGTCCGAACAAAGTAGTGCTTGTTATTTTGATAGGGTCATTTATAATGCCCAGAAATAAAAGGCCTAAAAGGAAGCAAAACCACCCTAAGTACCCAGTTACATCATGCCGCGTAAGAAGAGACCATGTGATATGGAACAAAAAGTGAAATTTCAAGATAATAGCTGGTATAACACGCTTACCAGGTTGTTAGTGGCCTTCCTCGCTAGTTATCGGAGTTGTTTAAATTCGCGTTACCCAATATATTCAAATCCACAAAACATGATATCAACTAAATCAACCTTAAAATATGGGTGCGAAACTCCGATGGGTTATATCCGCGTTAGCGTTCTAGATCAAAAAGAGCCCGATACGAGCTTGTTTCTTTTAATATTGAAAATAACAAAAAAACACAAAAAGATTTCATTGGTCGAGGAAAAGCATCCGATCGATTCGATATTCGCTGGCGATGACAGACGGTCGCAACTCTGGTCACTTCCGGACGAATTGAACGTTATTGATTGACATTTGACTTGCGATCGATTAAAATGTTTTCGTGGATGAAAGATGATGACAACAACATAGGTAAGTTGCTTTCCTTTACTTTACGCGAGAGCGCTTTGACTTTGAAAGTTCTAACCTAACCTAATTGCGTTTTTTTACATTGAAGCTGAGATAATTAAGAATTAAATTGGGATTCCGATCGCTACCCATTTTGAAAGTACGACCACTAATTCCGGGACAACGTATCGCAAGTAGTAATTTAAATTTGCTTCCAAGCGTAAGGTTAAATATGTCGGCAATTTGGATTGGAAATCTCCATGTAGCCGGTGAAATTTGACACAATCAATTATTATGAACACCTGACTGAATTTGAGGTAAGTGCAAGGTGCAAAAATTGTACACTAGTTGAGTACCGACAGTAAGCCTAAAACTGACTTATAAACATGCTTTGCTTTTTTTTTAGTGTTTTACTGGCGCATGCACCATTTCTGTTTTAGATGGACGAGAAGTAAAGATGAGACGTGAGCTGGAATATAGAGGAGATGAAACTAATTACTATCCCTTTTATAGTTGTATATATGCCTATTATTTGCACCTGTTAAAATTATGTTCATTAATACTGCTGGATTAAACTTAGGTATTTAACTAAAAGCAATTTTCTGATTTGGAGTAAATACAGCCTGTAACAAAGTGACATCAGAGAACTGACGAAAAGCGGTCCTGTATATCATTAGTGAAATTCGAGATCGTTGGCCGCATTCGGTTTCACTAGTATAGAAAATAGTGGTATCTATCTTCCTTCTTTAATTTTCATTATCCCAACCCATGGGTTGTGATACTTTCTATAGTGGTCTTATAAAATGTAATCTTTGGTTCCAGACGAACATAAAGTACTATTAACCAGAATATTCCAGCGCCGTGGCTTCTTCCCGAACTTGCTCCCAATAGACTTACCGCATCTCATGCCACCTGGACTGCTATTTAAAGCAACGACTTTAGATTAAATTAAATGGCCGCACTTCCGCCAACACTCGAACTTTATTATAAAATAAGTCTGTCCTCGCTTCGGGAGAAATACGTTAGCTCACGGACATTGGTTTCCTGTTGCCTTTGTCCCAAGTTCCGGGAATTAATCTTCGTGAAACTTAACGGAAACGTAAGTGCTATATCATACGCTAAAGGAGAGTCGCACAACTCCGCGGAAATTTAACTCAAATTGAATTGAAGTTAAGATATTTAGGTCGTCAAAAAGAAAATGCAATATAGGTACAGTGACGTAGTTTCAAGTAAATGCGGTCCGTCATGGAAAATGGACCAGGGGCAACCAGAAAAAAAATCATAAAAGCCTCTGGGTCAGATTTGTAACTTATCTGTAATATTGAATTAGAAAGTACTGTTTATGTCGGTCACCTAAGCTAGTGAATATGAAAATTTGAAGTCACTAGATGAATGAAGGAAATACTTATGATGCGGCCCGCTAAAAATCATAGTCTTTTTTTCATATTGTTTAGCAACAATCAACCTAGGATTTCAATTACCAATGACAAAATCAATTTCGACGTGGTATACGTAGAAATACATGAATCATTAGGAGCTGAATGATGAATTGATTACACTGTGCCCCGTCCTGTTTTATCACTACTCTTGTATAATAATTCTGGGCTCAATATACCAGCTTCAGAAACTAAACTCGTCACAAGTAAAGTAAAATTTCGTTCCACTGCTGCACAGTGTTTTAATTTATATTTTAATACCAACCAACAGAGTTTATTAAAAGGGCAACATAAAAACTTAACTTTTTCTAAATAGAATAATTCCCTGTATATTTCAATAAATGTGATAGAAAAATCTGAAATTAGGGACTCTTATAAAGACTGGCTACTGAAAATAAATACGATATTAAAAAAGATCGTAAAAAGTTTTGATCGTTTATTAAAAACAAAAAAGAAATCTCAGGTGTATCCAACCACATGAATTTTAATGATACTCGGGAAGATATACTTAACTCTTTCGCTGTAACAGTCATTTTCTAAAGGGAGTTTTTTCAACATTTTTAATGATGTTAGCAATTCAAACAACTCTGAAAATATAAACAGAGAACTTTTAAGAATATGAGATGGCAAGAGCTCTTGAAAGCACTAAACTTAAATTTGCAGTGAGTCCAGATTTAATTCCGGGATTCCTTACACATGACAATTGCTGTGTTGTAACTAAACCGCTTGAAATTCCTGGTATATGGAAAATGTCTGAAATTGTTCTCGTACACAAAAAGACCGTAGATCGCAAATTACAAACTATAGGGCTAGTTTCGCTATCTGCAATTTCTGTGAAGTTTTAGAATCCCTCGTACATGACAAAATATTTCATATTCGTAAGAACCAAACAATCCCAACAACATGATTTTTTACAGGGAGATCCGCCATTACCAATTTAACTACTATGTCACAGTATATTTCTGATGTCATATAAAAATGTCGTAAACATTTTTTTAAAAATCCAGTGTTCAGAGGATCAACAATTGATCTCTAAGTAATAAGTTGCAGCTTAATACAGCCAAGAACAATGCAGAATCTTTTACCACCATGGCTGTGGCTGTTAAATACAAATATCATATGTTTAATAAAACTTTCTCCCGGTATAATAGTTTTTGTGACATGGGGGTAATATTCGACTCTAAATTATCCTTTGTTCCTCAGATTAATAAGGTACTGGCAGATGATTCAAAAATCCATTGATTTGCACTAGAGATTTGAACAATACAGAAGTCATAAAAATATTATTTTACTTATCCTAACTAAAATATATCACTATACACCGAACTAGCATACGGGAAGCGTCACTTTACCACGAGAGTTTCTTGTCCAACGGATCCGAGTCGTTTCGGTCATTTTTTACGAAATATTACCGTATGGGTTTGGTAGCAATCGGATGTTCTCGGAGATTTTACCACACAGCCTAAATTTTGATGTTTGCCAATTCTGACGGTGATGTCAGTGAATGTATTCGTGATTTTTTGAAAAAATGTACCCAAAAACTAACGGTCGTAGAAAAAGTATAACATGCAACACGTTTGATAAACATTTTAAGTCACTCGTTTATTAAACACTCGCTCCGCTCGTGCCAAATAAACTGACTCAAATGCCGTTTACCGCACTTGTTGCATACTATACTTGGGCTCCTGGGTACAGTGTCACATTAATAGCCTGGAAATAATTCATCTTAGGTATTTGAAATATATATGGTACAAAATGTACGGAGTATATCGCGACAAGGCTTCTCGCATACAATATTACTAAATAAATTTGGCTATGTATCTCTTAGTGATCGCTATGATTACCATTATTTAATGACTTTCATTTCAAATTTCAAATAACTTGTTTGATTGCGCTGTCATATTATATATACTAAATTTTGTTGTTCCACGTATAAACTGTAGACATCATAACACGCCAAGAACAAATATTTTAAATTTCTCCAGTGTGCTGCAAATAAAATGGTCGACCTGTTTTAGACTTTTTATTTTCGAAATCTATTAGTAAAGTTAAAACGTTATTGCTCCATTAAATATAATTATAATTTTCTTCTGTTCTCTTACTCTTTTTTATCAGAGATCATGCTCGTGTCAGGTTAGATTTTAGGTTAAATTTCGTATTGTAAGTATTATATCCAATAACTCTGTAACTGTTATACTAATTTTACTGCAACCTACCTGTTAGATCGGCTTCATGCCTGTTAGGTAGACTTTTTCTTTAAATAAATAAATAAATAATCACTAATAAAGCAGTAAAGTCAGCAAACTAACCAAATATAGGCAAACAAAATCGTAAGTAAAAATTTACAGCAGATTTCATTTAAAAAAAAGAGAAGTTGATTTTTTTTTACTTTTGCAGCGATTATTTGTTTTTATAATTAATTTCAGGAGGAAATAGAGAAAAAACCGCACAACTTTTATGTAAAAAGTTTTTAACTACCTTCGTTAATAAACTGTGTATATGAGTGTTAAAATATAAATGAAAACCTTGTATATTTCACCCGTCACAAATAGTTTGCAACTTCCATTTTGTACATTGTTTTTCGATATACGATACGACAGCATTCCGAAATTCAAAAACATCTGAAGTACTGTGAGTTGCCAACAACTAAAAAAAATTTTTGAAATGTTTTTTTTTTCTCTCCTTTTTGAAAGTATTTTCTCTATAGATTTTTTACTTGGGGGTTTTCAGAGAATACAACAATGAAGCAGTCACTCACCTGTTCCGCATGATCGGAAATCCTTACGGGTAACCCGCCCACAACCATGTAAGCGTCACCTATCGTTTCGACTTTGTACACGTTGTAAGCGTTTATGGTGGCGTCGAAACAAGTGTAGAGGTCGTTCAGCAAATCGACCACTTGGAACGGCGTCGAGTGCGCTGATATCGTAGTAAAACCCACGATATCCGAAAAGTATATTGTCACTTCCTCGTATTCTTCTGGATCCACTGGCATGCCGAGTTTTAACTTTTCAGCCACGTAACTGTAAAATAAAGTGGGGTTTAAGCGCTCTCCGACTGGATTTTAATCCATCAATATTTTAAAGCACTTTTTACTTCATCTTTCAAAATTAACAAAAGAAACAAACTTTTTAAAATAGAAAAAATATAACTGTTTTTTGAGGGATATGTTTGACTAACCTTAGGCTAGACTTCGCTTCGTATATATTTTTTTTATACAAATATACAAATATATTTATTTAATATAATAATGGCATTTTATGGTAAAATGCCAGTTGAAATTTTGGCAATCCACAGGGTAATTTTTTAAAAGTCGAGTCTATCCTAAACAAACTCCCATCTCAAACAGCTAATGAACCGAATGAAACGAGTTGAAACCACTACTAATCGAAAACTAACCAAAACCTCCCAAATCTAATATCCCAGAGAACGCATTGCCCTAAAATCTCTAAAATCTAATCCCGACATCGTAATATTAAAAGCAGATAAGGGAATTGGTACGGAGCTAAACAAAAATGAATATCAGGAAAAGATTCAAGGTATTCTTACAGACGGATCATACCGTCAACTTAAAAAGGATGCTACGTCATCTATGGAACGCAACCTTAAATCTGTTATTAAGGCTTGTTCTCTATCAGACTCCTTGAAAAAGTCTGTCACCCCCAATGATTCTAAAATTCCTTGCCTCTACGGACTCGTAAAGATTCACAAACCCCTTCGACCTATTGTCAGCTCCATTGATTTTCCCACATATTCTCTATCAAAATATCTAGCTTCTTTATTAAAACCCTTTACAGGGAAAACGAGGAATAAAAAGTTTCGTATTTAATTCCTTTCAATTCACAACATTAGATAAACAAGATATTCCGGTTAGTTTCGACCTAGAATCCCTCTAGACTAAAATCTCTATTCCTGAAAATCTCAACTTCATTTCAGATATATAAACATCAGAAAATCTGGAACCAAACCTTACCTTACCTCACCTTAATTGAAAAATGCTTATCTGGAACACATTTTTCTGATAACGGTCGAATTTTTTAACAAACGTCGCGAACAGCTTTGGGTTTACCACTATCACAAGTCATCGCGAATATATTTATGGAAGCCTTTGAGAAGAAGAAGAAGAAGAACCAAAATTATGAAAACTCTACGTCGCTGATACTTTTGTTATTTGACCTCATGGTCAAGAATCACTAGTAGATTTTCCTGGACATTTAAACTCTATACACCCTAACGTTTTACCATTGAATTAGAAACTAATAATAACCTACCATTCTTAGAGATTCTTATCAATAGAAAATCGGACCTAACATTGGGTCATTGCGTTTACAGAAAATCTACGCACGCAGACATTGGTATTAAGGCATTAAGGTATTGACCTTAATGCATTGTCATATCACCAAAAATCATCGGTTATCTCTTGTTTACAGAGCCGTAAAACAATCTTAGCCCGAGTCACTGAACCGAGAACTAAAACACCTTACCTCTGCTCTTCTCTCTAATAATTTCCACATTAAAGCTATTAGGTGTTCCATCACAAAATACACTTCACTACAACCTTCCAATAGCAATGAAACCGAAAGCAAAACACTAGCCACTGTTGTCCTTCCTTACGTTCAAAACATTACTGACCACATATCAAAAGTTCTAAGAGAAGTCTAACCAGATTTACCACTTGTCTAAAAATCTCTCAACATCTTCGATCCAACAAAGACAAAATTCCATTTGAGATGCCAGGAGTGTACAGCATTCCATACATACGCGGCAAAGAATACATTGCAGAGACCGGACGAAAAATATCAACTATGTGCGAAGAACATGAAAGAGCTTTAAGACTAAGACAAATAAACTCATCAGCAGTTGCCAAACACAATCGCGACAAAACTAAAATTCTTGCATGCAACAATTCTTCTACCAATTAAAAATCCCAGAGTCTATAGTCTATAATTAACCTAATTCTTAACTGCGACTTAGGTCTTTCCCTGTACAATAATATGGGAATCGGTGATCCGAGACGATGTTTATGCCCCTCATTTAGCTCCACCCCCTCAAACAAAACATAAGCAGGTATACTGTTAAATGCGAGCCAGTGTCAGTTGAGCTTTGAAGAAGCCAACGGCGAACCCTTAGTAAGTTTGACTCAACAAAAACCGACGCCAAGGAACCCAGAAGTTTTGTAAAGAGTAATATACAGAGTGTTTAAAAACATGCGCCAATGTTCAACTAGAGATTCGTCGTACAAAAAAGTTCCTAAGTACAAGTCGTGATCTATACTTGCATAGTTCCCAAGTTTAAATTAAATAACAAACTACACCTTTTTTGAAATATCTTAAATGCTTTTTACCCGATTTTGTTGAAATATAGCATCGTCAAAGGACCTAATTTCGCTTTAACTAAGTGCCGTCGCCGGAGATATCGTAGTGCCAAAGAGACTGTGCGAATGACTTTTTTTACAATATTTGTTATGACATTTAATAAGCCACTAAAAGTACAACTTTTTTACTCTTAAGTTGCTTGCGATTCGAGGGAAAATATAAAAATCATGAAAACTGAGAAAATGATGATATCAGCATCATTTTTTCAATATTTAACACCCCGTATCTTAGAAACCTTTTTTTTTGTTCTTCTGCCGGGAGTAAGCGCATATTTTTTGATACACCCTGTTTTTGCTAGCGACAGCAACTTAATACTAATATATGATAATATTTGTTTATATCTAATTATGATAATGAAAAGAAATGTGAAAAAAATCATATATAAATATAAGTTGAGATCGATAGTTTAGATCATAAAAGAAGAATAATAATAAATAATAACTCTCGATATTTAGGATGCATGAACCAAAAAAGCATGAATAATGTTTCAAAAATTAGAAATTACGAGGATGGACTGATAAGTTCGGCGCCTGACAATGTTTTTTATTTCATTTTTCAAAATAGTCCCAAGAAAGACCAATGGATTTTTCAAATCGGCCAATTTAGTCAGATGATTGTTATATTCGTGAATTTTAGCTGATACGACGAATGTGTTGTTCCTTTCTTAAATTAATCTATCTATAAATGTGCCTTGATTGCTTCACCCTTTTCAGAATAATCAATAAAAATAATTTCTCTTGATGACAAAAGTGCCTGATCGCTATCGTAATGATACACGGCAATAAATAAAGTTACCAAATTGAAACTGACAATAGCCATGCATTTTAACAATCATATAAATTCCATTCAGGTAAAACTCTCTTGAAATAAACAAGAAAAATTGGACAAAGAGCTGAAAGCTTGCAACTCCGTTGATCCTAAGGTGCGAGATTCACTCCGTTTTACGTCACTTTAAAAATGGCGTTGTGTAAAGGCAGCAGCTGAAGCAATTAGTTGTTGAAAAATGAGCCAATCTCCAGACCGCGCGCCGCTTTCCGACAATATTAAGAAGCAACACTTTACTCGGAAGGCTCATTGGTTCGATTTATCGTCAGAATTGCTTACGTTGCGATTCCAGAAGAGCTATGTATTAGTTTGTTGTACAACATGGTGTAAGAACCGAAACAAGCCATAAATTTTACGCGGCAGAGCGGATTTTTCATATCGATTCAAACTCATTTCAATTGGTTCTAATTAAATTACCAAAAACAACGAAACCCAAGCAGATTTTCTAACGAAAACCTGAACATGCTAATTAGAGTCCTCCATTAAAATCGATTATAGCTGCGAGCAAAATTAAATAAGAATTTTATCGAGAATGCAGCATTCTGTAACAGGAAGGAATGTTTTTGATGGCAGAAAATTTCAATTAAGAAAGCCAGTAAATAAGAAACTTATTTCAGAAACATTCGTTGTTGAAACATAAATTATATTACGCCGGTAACAGACATGTTTCGCATCGTATATTAAATTTAATGCACAATTTTGTTACATAAGAAAATTTGTCCATGATCGAAATTCTTATTCTACTGGATTACAGCAAAGCATCTCATGCTGTTCATACTGAAATTCCTTGTCAAAAGTTTTTTTTATTTACAATAATACGAAATCTAGCACCCTCTCTCTCTCTTAAAGTTAATACAGATATACTATGTCAAATACTACTTGTCAAAAATCATCAAATCAAAATCAATCGACCGTCCTATTTGTCTAAAAGGTTTGTAATTTTTAGGGAGCTAAATAGTACTAATACAAGAAAAAAATAGTTGCTAGTTTCACCTTGACATTGTTGGCATTATTTCAAAGATCTTTTTCATATAAAGCTCCTAAATTGATCGACAAATCACCGGTAGACTTTTTAAACGACTTATCCTTACTTAATTAAAAAAAAGGTAATAATTGGAAGTAGATAATTGGAAGGATTTTTGGAAATTGCCTATAACATTATTTAAAGCAAATCCGGTGGTGTACTCATATTTTTTCTGCAGTTTTCCCCTTTCTCATAAATGAGTACAACTTTCTCATTTTATATGGAAATCATAGTTGGCCTTTGCCTTAAAAAATGCGTTCGTCGAGACCTTTTCAGCCATAAAGATTGTGGGTGCCTGTGATGAAAAAAATATAGGGCATTTTTTGTTTATGTATTAGTAGACGGTGCATATAGCTGTCAATGTCAGTTAAGGGCAACTTTTATTTAGCAATTCAAAAAGTTCCAAAATAATGAAAGTATAATATGATAAAGTGTTCTTTCAATACATATCCAGAGCAGCAGCAACAAAATAATTAACCAATTGCGGAAGTTTCAAAAGGCAAAATCAAGTATCCAAACATATACTCACGGGCACTAGCTGATGCAACAAACGCTGGAAAAAAGTTTTGACTACTTTAAAAATCATAAATTCAAGCGATATCGTACCAGAAAAGTAAACCAATTACATGAAGGGGATGCCGGTAGAAAAATTCAATTTTCCAACTAGTTTATAGGAAAATGTAATGAGAACATTAATTTTCCATTGTCGATTGTTTCGAGTCATGAATTGATTGTTCCGGAATATTTAACAAATACAATTCTTATAACTGGAGCACAGAAAATCCTCATGCTGTAGTGTCGACAAAGTCGTTTTGGATTCAATGTATGGGTAGAAATTTTCCGAGGTAGATTTGTGGAACCTTATTTTTTTAATCTGGCTGTGGATGGTTATATAAATATTTTGCGAACATGTATTGTTTCATTTTTAGAAGACATGCCTTCAATCTTTGGAAGAAGTATTTGTTTCCAGCAAAATGTTTGCTCGGTTCACAACGCACGGATTGTAAGTGAACTTTTGAATGAAGAGTTTGGATAATGTTGGATTGGAACTGGAGGCTCCATTCTGTGGCCTGCGAGATCATATGATCTAACTCCTCTAGATTTTTTTATACAGAGTTAGAGGAAGCCACTCGAGAAGCGTTTGCTTCCTTCAATCCAATAGAGTTAGTAAATGGTTGTTATTCAGAAGAAAATTTTATTTTGTTTAGTGCTTTAAAATAACTATAATTTTGTTTTCTAAATAATTAAAAATTTTTAAATGAAATATTAAAATTAGAATCGTGTTTTTTGTCTTTTTGTTTTCTTTATATCAACCAGGTTAAGTTTAAAAGCGCCCTTTGGGTGGGACACTTCGCCTTTTCTAATATAGTTTTTTAATTTGTCATGATTAAATTGCGAAGCTTCTTGCTTTTTGCATAATAAAGTCGCAATAAATGGGATGTATAATATTTTACATTATTATAATTTTATAGATATTTACTTTTCATTGCGTTTAAAACAGTTGCTAATCGAAGATAACATATGCAGCAGCATTAAAATATTTTGGCGCACATTTCGAAGACAAATGAAATACTGTGATGCAATAGTAAATTTGCAACAAGTGCGGTAAACGGCATTTGACTCACGCAGCGGCCTGAGTGTTTAATAAACGAGTGACTTAAAATGTTTACCGAACGTGTTGCATACTATAATTTTTCTACGACCGCTAGTTTTTGCGTACATTTTCGCAAAACACTGACATGACCGTCAGAATTGACAAACGTCAAAATACAAAGCGTGGGAAATATTTCCGAAAACATCCGATTGCTCCCAAACCCGTGCGGTAAAATCCCGGAAATGTCCGAAATGGCTCGGATTCGTGGGAAACGAAACCGCTTTTGGCACGCTAGATTGGTGTGTAATTAGGTATTTTACATACGGGAGTAGAAAAAAATATTATCTATACCACTGGTATTGTAACATTTTTTAATGCTGCTTGTGATCTTATCAAAGAATAATTTAGTCCTTAATAAACCTATTGAATTTGGAATTTGAATGTTGCAGTGAATATCACTTTACCACATTAATAAATGCAAAAGCAGCTTCAAAAATTAAAAATAATAAGTATCTGTACAAGCATTTATCAAAAACTTTTTAACAAAAAATAATTCAAGACCAGAAAAGTTTCCTGAATGTGCATTTGTAGTGCCGTCATATCTGTATCTGTACGTGAAGCGCTACATTCACTTAGGCTTCAGCCGTCTCATTGCGCTTCTTGCTGGACAAAGCCCTAGTGACTCCACGTAGGCAATGACAGCTTGAAGAGTGGTCTCCCCAATTACTGTAGGGGATGATGATTCGCCAAGCATGCTTTCACACCTAAACTAGTGGTTAGGACCCGCTGCTGTGTCCTTTTCTTGTTCACACCGCATGCACGTTGAGGTGCTACTCAAACCTAATCGAAATTCGGATTTGTTAAGTAAGCAATGACACGTGTTTTGCTGCTTTTTCATTTGGTTCAGTAGTTTCTTAGCTAGTCAACAGTTTTCTTTTTCATCTGATGGTTTTATATAGATCCTATCAAGTTTAGTCCGGCAGCCCTCCTGGCTAGGGAGGATCACTACATTGTCAACTGACGTGCAAATGAGGTAACATTTTAGTGCTAGTATATATAAAGCGGTTTGGCTACAGCCTTGGCAGTTTACCGCATCCCAACCTCCACGCTGTAAATGTGAGTCTCCTCTTTTGCATAGCTTCATCAATTCCTGGCTTCCAGCTTTTCCGTAGTCTCCCTCTTTTCCTTCTTTGTGGTGCCCCCCGGTCATAATATTTTTTGGGTATTCTGTCTTCGCTCATTCGACTCATATGTCCAAACCACATTAGTTGCTTTTCTTCAATAGTATCTAATAGTATCTTTTCTACATTCATTCTGTTCAAAATTTCGTCATTTTGATTTTGTCCATTAATGCGGTTTTACAGAAATACAGGATTTCTGTAGAAGCTACCTTTCCTTTCATAACTTTTGACATTTTCCAAACCTCTGATCCACATGTAATTGTACTTCTCTTATTTTTTTGGGAAATGAAGTCATTCCATAACACTGAATGTAATTGACGTATAACAATTTTTCCTTTATTAATTTTGTTTTGTATGTCCACTTTGTCTCTTCCGTCTGATGTTATAACCACTCCTAAGAACTTATATTGGTTTGTATGTTTAATAGTTCCCACATCAGTGTGACAATCTTGTCCGTTTATTCCAATAGCCATATGCCGGGTTTTATCCATAATTATTTCCAGGCCCCGCTTCTTGTATTCTTCTACAAGCTTTCTAAACATATAGTTTATATCGTCCTCATCTTCTGTTAATATTACCTGATCATCTGCAAATAATAGACCATAGATGGACTCTCTGTTCATCATTACATCCATATTAATGCATTTTCCATCATAAACTTTAAATAAAGTCTTTATTTACCAAAATTTCTTGAGAAGTTTCTTTTCCAATTTTTACTAAGCTTTTCGTGTTATAATAGAACTGTTTCAAAGCATCCCATGACTTATTTATGGGCACGGTATCAAATACCTTCTTGAGGTCTATAAATATAAGGTGTAATTCTCTCGAGCAAGTTACAATTTTTTCGGCTAGTTGTTTCAGGCAGAAAATGTTATCGACGCAGAATCGTCCCGCCCCGGAACCACTCTGCTCTTCTGCATCTTCATCTTCATCTAGTGCTAGTCCTCATGTAAAAAGCCTAACTTTGATCCTGGTGATTTCTTTTAGACATTTAGTTTCGAAACAAAAAAACGTTTTCTTTAGTGGGCGTGATTTGCCCACAAAAATGTAATAACTTCCCTTTAATTCCTTTACAACGGAAGTCATGCCCGGGCAATTACGGTAATGCAGATGGTGTATTCCGGAGACTTTATATAAAACCTTTGGAAACAACCCGCTTCAAACATTTTTTTCTTCTCGGGGAGGCTTGGCATTTTATTAGTGGCGTTTTTCGGCGAGGGAGAACATGAAAAGGACCGCCTTGCTTCGCAAACTTTTTACGAGAAATGTCCGGTATGAGTTTTATGAAAAGGACGGCTTAGAATATTGGATAACTTCTCGAAAATATTAGGTCTTTCTGAATCGATATTCGAGGAGGTCGTTGCACCGAAATTAATGCGCTCTCCTTCAAAGAATTCAAGTTAAATTTCAGTTAAATGATTGATGAATTCGTGTGATCCATGTTTCCGGAGCATTTGAAAATAGCGCTTTCGGAACCATGAAACTACAACTGTATATACCAAAAGTAAGGACCACAGCGATATGAATAAGGTTTAAAACAAATTTCACAATAATACATCATTTATAACGTGTTTATCAGCAACAATTATGTCGTCAAATATTTTTCAATGGTTAAATTTTGGCGGTTTTGTTATGAAATATAATGGTTCGGTAGTTTTAAATCCAATTTTCATCTTACCTGGGTAACATTCTGTTCAGCAACTGCTCCGTTTTCTTCTTCTCGATATCCAGCTGCTCCGTCCGCTCCCTAATCAACTCCTCCAAATTGTTGGAATACTTCTCCAACATCTGGAACATGGTATCCACGATGTTTACCTTTCTGCCGTGGTTGAGTTTTTTAAATTGGTCGTAAACTGCGTTGAAGTCTGGGCGAAGCTCGGCTTGCTCGGCCCAGCATTGACGCATAATATTGATGGCTTCTGGTGGGGCTGCGCCCTTACTGACGGAAGGCCGAATTAAAGGTGGCGGCCGTTTCACTTTTTCAATAATTTCTGGATGAAAAAAAAAATTACTTGTTTCATCACATGCCAAAAGTATAACAGGTGATAAATAAAGATACTAACCTTCTGGTGTAAGCGCTAGCATGCAGAAAGGCTCTCCCCTAACGACAACCTCCTGAAGAATGACACCAAAAGAGTAGACGTCACCAGGTTGGGTGCCCTTTTTTCGCAGACTAGTATGTCTTAGTAACTCAGGTGCAGTCCATAGAAGTTCTAAAACGACAACAAAAATGACGAGTCAAACCACTAACGAACTTTGAATATTTAATCCTCTTAATGTTAATAAACACAATAGTTTTCAAATTTTCTAAAACCTTTTATTTTGCTCTAGACTTTTATTTCAGCGAAGAGGTAAATTTGATTTTTCCCACAAGATCTTAAACATCCGCTTGCAAGCATCCACCGGGACGATTTTCGAGAAAATTGCGGGAAAGTTAGATATAATCATTACTCTCCTGAGAAGGAAAATGTAAAAGTTTTCCCGCGATAAATTTCAATTGCCCAACACTTTGGTTTCTTTATTGCAGATTCCCGATCTTATCGATTGCAGCTTCCATGTAGCGTACTTATTTTAGGCAAACATCTGTGTAGCGAAATTCTGGGTGAAACTGAATCCTCTTATACGTGAACAATATTGAGTTTATCTTGAGAGCAAGTTACGTGCCAAATATTGAAAAATAAGATACGAAACAACGGGCTTTCGAAAAAAAATATCAATTGGAAAAAATCTTAGAGAAAATTGCATGATTTACGTCGAATTGCCAAAAGAACAAACAACTAAAAAAACTGAAATCGATGGAGGTTCTAGTACATATTTTAGAAAAGATAAGAATTACCCTACTGGAAAATCTACTCAAAGGAATCTAACAAAGAGGAAAGAGCAATATCCATATGCTTTAATGGATGATACATAAAATATAAACAAATGGAAATATTCTACTGGCTTTGAATATAGTGTGGTTCATTTGTTGATATTTTAAACCATAAACCATAAAGGAGTACCACAGCATTAAGTTGCTTTAATCAGTTGATCTTCATCCTTATAAAGTTATAAACACTAAATCCACACTTTAAAAATTTGGCATATCAAAACAAAACAAACTATAGTTTTAATAAAAAATGTTTTATTTTAAAAAGTCTATTTTGAATCAGAACATTGGTTGCAATACCAACAGTTTCTAAATTTACACATTCAAAATGAAACCATTTTGTTCTACATGTTTCTTGCTCACATTGAATCATGTGTTTACCATTGTCAACCCAGTTAGAGATGCAATAATTAGTAACTTCGAGAGCTCCAATTTCATGGGTGAAGAATTTACTCAAGAATTCTGGAGTTATGACTTCGGCATAATACTGAAGAGCAATTTTTGAATTTTGATGCCAAAATTCTCAATTCGGATAAATTCTTTATTTAAAGAATATATTCGGCGATAAATATTGTTTGTTTTCAAACATTTATTTTGAAAAAGGCAATAAAATTTTCAATTTAAAATACTCGTCGATGTTAACAATATAATCATAATATAATCACAATTTAATAAATATGGGCATTTAATCCTCCCATACAACACTCACAAAACACTAATCGGCCTGCAGAAGAAGCTATTTGAAGCCACTTTTCGCTAACTAATTTAGATTCAGATTCAGAGTGATTCATTCATCTGGTCCGTAAACTAAGTAACTGGTGGAACTCCATTAATTGAGTAATCTAAAATATCGAAGTCTAAAAGAAATGGATCTAAACCATTTACTAATTGTAGTTTTATCTGATATCTTCAAAAACAAAAACATTTCATAAGGTAAAAAACACCAACTATTTTACAATTTTTTAATATTACCTTTCACAAATATCGTGAATTTTCTTGTAATATTTTTTTGTCAATATTGACCTAATGCCCAAATTGCACTTCAAAACTCACCACACAAATGATTGTCTACCTGATCTACTACAATTGTTTGTCCTAGATGGTCAACTTTGATCACATAGTTTGGATTGCCTAATAGTAAAAAGGAATTCAAACTTCATTGTTCCTTGTTTGCTAAATACATTTTCGGATTTTTATAATAGGTAAGTTAGCTACTAGGTACTACCAATCCATAATACAATTCTACAGATACGCTATTGCCAATAAATCCTATCAATCAACTAGGTTTCCCCAACAAAGGCACCGACACGTTGTGATGCAAAACGTCATTCGATACGCCAAATGGTCCGTTTAAGCAAGCTCCTATTCAATTTTGCCGAAAAGGTACCAAAAGTAACGTTTCACAATGGACAGACGTGTCCGGTACTGGGTTTCGGGACATGGCAAGCGAAGAAGAACGTAGTGGGAGAAGCTGTGAAGGAAGCAATCACTGCCGGTTACCGTCATATTGATTGCGCCCTCATCTACAGAAACGAAACTGAAGTAGGAGAAGCCATAAAAGCGAAGATTGAAGATGGAACCGTTAAAAGGGAAGATTTGTATATAGTCAGCAAATTGTGGAACACGATGCACAGGCCGGATCTAGTAGAACCCGCGCTTAAGACTAGCTTAACAAATTTATGTCTGGATTATCTGGATTTGTACCTCATTCACTGGCCGTTTGCTTTTAAAGAAGACGGCGATTTGTTTCCGATCGATAACAACAGGAAGCTCGCGTTAAGCAACGCGGATTACGTTGACACATGGAAGGAGATGGAGAAACTGAACAGGAAAGGATTAACGAAATCCATAGGGGTCTCAAACTTTAACTGGAAGCAGTTGGAACGACTGAACCGTGTATCGGCGGTCAAACCGGTAACGAACCAGATAGAGATACATCCTTACCTACCTCAGACAAGGCTCGTTGAATTTTGCAAATCCTACAAAATGGTAGTTACTGCTTATAGCCCGCTAGGAGCTCCGGCTAGGCCGGGGGTTAAGCCCTCGGATCCTGTCATAATGGACGATCCAATTATCAAAGGAATAGCACAGAAACACAACAAATCAGCACCCCAAGTACTGATACGTTATGGAATTCAGAGGGGCTGTATTGTTCTGGTAAAATCTGTTACCAAGGAGCGAATTGCTCATAACATTGACGTGTGGGATTTTCAAATATCAGACGAGGACATGGAAGTTTTGAATTCCCTGGATTGCAATTATAGAACCATGCCATTTATCGACGCCATCGGCCACAAGGATTATCCTTTTAGAGAAGAATGGTAGATTTAAAACACTTTTATGCTTAATAAAGTTGTTTAAGTATTTCATTCATTGTACTACAGAAGTTATTTTTCTAATACTTCGAGAAATTTTGGTTGGTAATTGTATATGTCTTGCCGCAGTTGAAAAAGGGCTGTTCAAAAACTTCTACCAATCCATCTTTCCCGCTATTTCTATTCCAGGCGTGGTCTACCCAACATAAAAAGCTAAAGTGCCAGTAAGTCAAGAGACTGAAATAATGGTTGAGTAATCTAGGTTGAGTTACGCCATCCATTTTATGCATTACAACAAACGGAATAAAGAATCGCTTGCTCGAAGGCATTATTAAAATATTATTCATACAGTGTGTCCCACCTGAGAGCTGTACACCCTTTTAAAATATTTGTTTATGGTTCGATTTTGATAATTTTTTGTTGTTGGATAGGTCTCGGAAAAATGCACTAAAACCTTGTTTCGCTGATTGCTTCAACTTACAGTCATGGCCAACTGAAACTTTTTGACAAAAGAGAGAGAAGAGAGGAGTAAAATATAAATTGGCAATGAATTCTTATTCAGGAGTACTTAGAAGCCAGCTATACCAATTTTTATAATTTTTCAATGGGTGTTTGAAATATCGTTGGAGCCCCGCTTTGATTACGGTTTGATTTTGAAAATTTATTTTGTTGGAAAGATCTCTCAAAAACGCACTAAAACCTTATGTCTCTTATTACATCAACCTGAAATCATGGCTAAGTGGGACTAATTTTTGATGTCAAATAAAGTGTCGACGAATTCTTATTCAGAACTACAGAAAACCTAACTATACTAATTTTCATGAAGTACGAATACAGGGTGCGCAAAATATCGCGAGAGCCCCGCTTAAGCATCACTCCTCTAGAATAGATTTCAGTAACGATTTTCTTAAAATTAAATATGATTAGAGAAGATTAAATATGAGCTAAACAGACTTTACAAGCGCTGTATTTTTTAATTATTTTTATTATTATTATTATCTAATACTGAAAATATTATATTTTCTTCTTTGTTTTTCAAGAGGAGCGAAACCATGGAGATGCGAATATTCGACAGTCAAATTCACTGGCTAATTTATATTTTAATTTCGTTTACATCTTTCGAATGCTAAGATTTGTTACTGCTGTTGTTTTAGGATGATACTAAAAAATAAATGTCCTTTAAAAAGTCTCATTTATTATTATTTTTGAAATTTGTATAATTAAAATTTGTACAATTACAATTTACAAAATTTACAATAATTATTTTTTTAAAACATTAAAAACTTTGGTCATTGACCTGGCTACTTTTAGGTAGTCCTGAACAAAAATCTGTTGCCATTTTCAATTTAAAAAAATCTCTAAAAATACTTCTCTATTTTCAGCTTCAAAAAACTTTGTTAGTTAGCCATGACTTTGGGAGATGCTGTACGAAAAAACCGTTTCATTTCCCTTTAGTAAGATCTGTCCAGCAAAAAAGAATTATCAAAAATAATAACATAACAAACATTACACAGGAGTAATGCTTAAGCGAGGGGCCAACGATATTTCGAGCACCCTGTATTCATACTTCATGGAAATTAGTTATTTTTTATATAATCATGAATAAGAATTCGTTGACACTTTATTCTCATAAATTAGTTCTACTTAGCCACGACTTCAGGTTGATGTAATAAGACACATAACGATATACATATACGCCTTAAGCGTAAAAATTGGTATAGTTGATTTCTAAGTACTTCTGAATAAGAATTCGTTGCCAATTTATTTGTTTTTTAAATCCCTAATAGTACTTTTCTCTTCTCTCTCTTTTGTCTTAGTTGGCCATGACTTTAAGCTGAACCAATATGCAAAACAAGGTTTTAGTACAATTTCCAGAGACCTTTCCAAAAAAATCAAAATCAAACGATAAACAAAGAGTGCTTAAGTGGGACACACTGTATATATCTGGCATCGAAAACGAGATTTTTTAGGAAGTCTAAAATTAAAGGAAGTTTGGGATTCGACAGTACCTATCGAGAATTAAGAATAAACTAACGAAGTCGAATTATTTGAAAAAACGCTCAAGAATATTATTATCGGCAGCTGTACTCGATTGATAATTTAGAGCACATAAAACATAACATTATTGTTGAGTACTTATAGCTGCTGCACAATGCAGAAAAAAATAATCGTCTTTAAAGCAAAATATATTTTTAATTACAAAAAAATATTCCAGGCTAAGAACGGAGAGGAAAGAGAACACCGAATGAAATGATAAAATTAATACCAACGGCTACACCTCATATTCATTTCCGCGATGTATACAATTTAGCTTAAACGGCGCTATTTTATTCATTGGTTCGTAATCTTTAACGCCGTTAACTGGGTCGGCAATTGTAATTAATCAGGGTTACTACTGGAACCGCGATTAATTATCTACAAAACATTCCGGCAATCTGCCGATCGCCGAGTGACAGAACGGAGTTTAATTAGGGCGTTAATGAGTCGACTTGAGATTACTTAAGTCCCTAAACTGGCGATATTGGATTTTGTCACATAAGCGGAAATAGAAAGCCAAGTTTCAAATAGCGCACGACGCGAATGACCTGCGAAAGGATTGATTGCCGATATTCTCCATTTGATTGTAATACATAGACGACAAAGTAAATTAACAATTTTGTAAAATACAAAAATTGGTGTCCTTAAGATGAAAAAGGACAGAATTGGTATCACCTTGAGCACCATATAAAGTGGGTATTCCTACAGAGCACGAATGGCTCTGTATAGAAGCATGTACAGGAACAGGTATAATCTGTATGGCACTGTATTGAAACAGGTACAAGAACAGGTATAGTCTGCAATTATGGAAGTTACCTGCCAACGGCGATAATACTGGGGTCCGGTAGGTATTAAAGGACAGAACAGTGGAGACGGACTCTCAAAGTTTTTGGTAATAATATAATTTTGTTTGTTTATTTATTGTTTATAATCTTATTAAATTACAGTGAGGAAAAACAATGATATAAATATTAAAAAATATAAAATACATACAATAAATTCATATCTATTTTTATTGTAAATGTCTAAATCTAATTCTGTTTCATAAATATCATTTTCTAACAAAAATTTCTGGAATTTTTGAACTCGATAAGGCTGGTATTTTGCGTAACAGACGGCTGTGGAAGCTTGCGTTATCAACTACAATAACACTGTTAATCCAAGCTAGAATCCTTTATATTTATTTCAGGCAACAGCAAGCAGTTTGGGATAAATCTGTGTATTATGGTGATACATTTTCCTTTATTTGAAGGTACACAGTTTCATCTTCTTCTAGCTTCTTTTTCAGTTTATCTAAGCTAGCAGCAACTTCGCTTTGATAAAGACAATATATTTCCTTCTAGGTCTTGGTCACTATTGTCTACACAGTGAGTTTAAAAATCAATTCTCCACGATTAACAATATCTTTTAATCTTTTGTAATATCCTTTAAAGCTTTTTGTTGAACAAGTCCTTTACTGATTAAAGATTCATACTCATTTTTCACAACCCGTTTTGTATCAAACGTCAAATGATTTTGACGGGACATTGTTATATTCTCGTAAAATAACTTTTTCGAAACGCACAGTTAAAATTATTAGTCAAGACTACCGCAAATGGTCAACACTCAAGAAATATATCAGAAAGAAAGAAATTTGCCTGGCCCACGCCTGTCTTGTCACCCAAGTAAGAATAATTTTTTTGTTAATGGCTTTACCCAATAACAATACGTAATAACATCGTTGGTGAAGGTCCGTCGAAGCCAATACTATGAAAATTGAGACAGACTGTACCCTCTTTTGAGAACTTCAAAATATGGTACGCGGACAAGCACATCTATTTCGAGCTTCGTTTGAGTGGCTATGGAAGCGTATACCTGCTAAACGTTTTATGAAATTATCTATATGATCATTTCCGTGCGTTTTTAGCAGTTTCTTGTGGCATATTACTAGCAAATATTTCGAAGGCTTGATCAACATACTGAACAACTTTAATCATTAATGTTGGACCTCATTATTAAGAGAAATATAACGTAGCGACGCCCTTAAAGTGTTTTTCCAAGTTTCCAAGAATATATAGAAAGTGTGACGAGTGGCGACACACCATTCGGCTTTATCAAGGAACTCGGCACTAGCCTCATAAATAATAATTGCGAGTTGAGAACGAAACAAATTTGCTTATTCATGGCGACTACCTTTGTCGTGGAAAACAATTATGTTTTTAAGAAATAAATATCGTAAAGAAATTTTGAACCCCTATGTTTCCAAAACTAATGCATGAAATGTCGCATATGTTTAAATCAGTAAAAAATTATTTTTTTATTACTCTATAAAAATTATAAAAACTGGCGTATATTTGCTTTTTTTTTGTATCTCTTATGGGTGACCATGAAGATAGGGTGTAAAATATAAACAAAAAACCGGTACAAATACGCTTACCCCTAGCTGTTTTGTTAGGTGGCTGAATTCCTTGAGCTTCGTAGAATGCTGGGAGTCCATAGTCGGTCACTTTCAACACCCAACGGGCGTCAATTACACAATTCCTCGATGTTAAACATCCGTGGACACGGATTTGTGTGGAATGCAGGTATTTCATGCCCTGCAATAAAGCTTACACTATGCATTCGTTGTTGTAAACTAACTTTGAAGTTAAACGCAATTACACGCAATATTTATTCCAGTTTTAATTTTGAACATCATTCGGTTACACTTGGGATGTTGAAAACAGTAAGAGATTGGCGCAATTGGCCTCACAATAATACCTAAAAAAGTTGACGTTATCTTTGGTACTTCGGAAAAAAATCTTTTGAAACAATTTGTCATTACCACAACGTCATCAATTTCATTTTCTCTTGGGATTCGTTATATTTTGTAAGATTTGATCATGTATTAGAATTGTATAGTAGTGAATATTGTGAATATTGGTCATAAGATACTATTGACTTCCACAATCTTGCAAAGAAATATCGCTAGAATCTACAATTGCAAATTTGGGAGTCAAATTCGACCTTCTGGATGTAATAATTTTTTTGTACTCAATATTACTACATTATTTTCAAGAGTTAAAAAGACAGACAAAAAGTTAGTATTTTAATATTTTTAGAGCCTCATTATATTTTTATTATTATTATTACAAATTTGTCGATTATAAGCCGCATCATTATATGAGGCAACTAGTGTTGAAACGTAATATTTTATTGCAACAGAACTTTGTGTTTTATCGACCAATGCGTTTAAATATAGTTCATAATTTTGTGCGCTAAATCCCTTAACGGATATTTTCCTGTTTGCAGTCTATTCGAACGCTTTGAAAATTTAAATATTTACCGACACAAGAGCCTGTTTCGTGCGGTACCAATATAATTTGAATCTAGATGCAGCCGACACAAAAAATCTAAAAATGGAAACTGGATTAAAGTAGAATGAAATTGTAAGTGTTTTCCTGATATATGCAACCACAAAAACATCAAACTTTACAAAATGAAGAAGCAATGCTATGTTTGGATTTGAAACAAGTTGAACATAACTGTTATCCCCTATAGATTTTTATATTGAATGTTTTGTATCTTTATATTTTGGGGTGCGAACTTGTTTTACCATCAAATTTGCCTGATAATCAGTGAATACCAAATAAACAAATTAATCTCAATATCATGTTAAAGAATATAATATTAAGAAATGTCTACAAATGTACATAAATCTGAAGCGAAATTATTTATTTTTATTTTATTTTCCATTCATTGTTTTTAAGTAAAATGGCAAAATTTTATATATATTTTATTAAGCAATAAGAAAATAGAAATTTATAAGTTGATATTCTAATAATATATAATCAGAATTCGTTTTTTTTTTCAAATAATAAATTCGCTATTCAATTAAATCCATCTATTCTACACGAATCTAATTAGATGCGTCTTCATGATCTCCCTTTTACAATTCGTTACAACTCTTGGCGTTGCAACGAATTGATCACCCCTCGTAAAGGCAGAAAAGAAAACTGCACAATACGCAACAATGCGAAAACTGAAAGAACGCTATCTTAAATTTCTGTAAGTTGCGGTTATCAGTAACCCAATTTTTAGTAACATCTAAGCAGTAATTGTAATTATTATTCTGGACATTAACGCAGGTTACACAGGGTATAGTCTGAACTCTGTTTCTTTTGAGAATTTCATAGTTCATACGTATAAAAGATTGAAAAGGCACTATTAATTATAATTAGCGATTCAAAAAGAACGCCGAATTTGAAAGGGCAGCCATTTTGTTTTTTATTGTTGGTAGCATCGTTTTTACGTTGAGGTTTTATATTGTCAAGGAATTGTACAGTGATTATGTTTTCTGTCAAAATGTGAAGTGACGTGAAGCGCATTTTCAGCTCAATGGCTTTGTTAATAAGCAAAATTGAAGATGTCTGAGAATTCAACAGTAATTTAAGAACAAGAAATGCATCATCAAAGAGTTTTGGATTTGGATTGGAATTGGAATTTGGAGTAAATGGCTGATCGGATCATTTTGAAAACAAAGAAGGAAACGTAGTCGCTCTTAATGGAGTTCGTTACAGAGCAATACTCCCTGATTTCCTCTATTGCATTAAATGATCATTGAGATTTTCTGGTTCCAGCGTGCCACACTTCAGCTGAAAAAATTGAACTCCGAAGTGAGAAGATTCCAGACCGACTTATGTTGTTGAGAGGAGACCAAGTCTACCCATCGATCATGTAACTTTTTTATGTGGTTACATTAAGTCACAAGTCTACGAGAACAAACCACGAAATTTGATGGGACTCAAGCATGAAATCAAAAACCATATGCCCAATAATATTTTTCACGTTGAGATATTCTCAAGCGAATGGTCTGATTTTTTTGCCTTTATTATGAAAATCAATTAATTTAACTGCCCTTTCACACCCCACGCTCGTTTTGAATCACCCTTTATCAGTTTCGGGGGATGTCTGCATAAATTGTAGAGTGTAAGTCCTTTAACTTTTAAAATGGGAAAATAAGTACCATTTTTATCGATAAGGTTCTGGTTTACAATTTACTTCTATATATTTTCCTAATAACACATAAACATAAAGTGTCCTTCTTCCGTCTTACCCTTACTAAGTCGGTCAACAGACTCAACCGAAACGACCAGTCCAATTTAATATCGTCCTGCTGCAAGACGTCCTGAAGAGATCCCCTGGAGCAGTACTCGGATACTAACGCCGCCGTCGGGGGTTCGGCTAAGCACCCTATCAAGGGGTTTAAATTCTCGTGACGCAGACCGTGCAAGAGAACCAGTAATTCGATTGATTTGGCTTTGAGCTCGCAGCCGTTGCCGCCGTTTGAAGGCACTGGTTTCATTTGTACCAAATCACCCTGAAACAATCCCTCGGGTTTCTTTCAAATATTCCCTCGCGAAATCGTAGGGTTGGGAAAATATTGATGGCACGAATTGTTAAAATATTTTCAATTCGCTTTTAGTATTCTATACAGTGAAAATTTCTCACTGTTGAAGAATATAACCTTTATATACGAAGAGTGTTCTAAAAGTAAGGTGACTTTTAAGTTTTACCAAAAAAAATATATTTGACTCTCAAAACTAATGTTGTCCCGCTCAAACTAATCCCCCAGATATAATACACTTGTGCAAACGTTTTTTTTAATCCTCGACGTACTCCTAGTATAGCCATGAGTTCTTAGTTCAATTTTTTATTTATCTTCTCAATCGTTCCAAACTTCCTTCATTTGATGGGTTTCTTAAGTTTTGGGAAGAGGAAAAAGTGGCATCCGGTGAATGTGGTGGCTGAGGTATGATTCTGGTTTTGTTTTTGGTCAAAAATTTAGACAGTGAGCAGGTAGATTATTGGGATGTAAAATCCATGAACTGTTTTCCCACAATTCCGGACGTTTTCTTCCTATTGGTCTCACACATGGCGCATAACTTCAAAGAAATACAGTAGGACCTTGTGGTAAGAACTCTTGATGTAGTAATAAAAGAAAACAGTAACATTTGATCTAATTTCACATACTTTTTCCGGTCTTCTCGATTCTGGGTACTTCCGTTGACCTTATGTACTTTTTGAGCATCTATCGGGATCATCATTGACGTCGTTTAACAGCGTGTTGAGCGATGTTCCTTCGACGGTCCTTTTGTTCAAAATTAAGCAGTTTCGGAACAAATTTTTCTGATAAACGGCCCATGGAGATGCCGGCGTCTTCAAGCGCTTCTCTAATAGCGATTCGACGATTTTTCAACACCATTTGTTTCAATTCTCGGCCATCTGGTAACAGCTTGTACCACTTATAAATATTTTTTTTTGCTCAAAGTAGATTCAACATTGTCAACATTTCAAGTGAATTGTATTTCATTTTTTACACAAAATTTTATGCAAATTCGTTTTTCCATTTTTTATGTCTGTCTCACAAAAAAAGTAAACGTGCAAACTGACTGAAATTGTGAACATATATTAGGGATATGGGTACCAACATAACAAAAAAATATCGAAAATCGAATGTACGTAGCCGCCTAATTAGAAAATTCTTAACTTTTCGAACACACCTCGTATGTAGTATTTTATAAAAAGGTTAATTTGCATGTACAAGTATCAAACCTTCTTAAAAAGGCTTTATATTAATCTCAGCAACATCTATAAAAGTAAAAATATTCTGAACTTTAAGTTAAAAACACTCTGTCTGAAGCACTAGTTCTGAGTCATCTAAATTGCCTGTCGGTCCTGCTTGGAGGAAATATAAATTGCAAAATGTACAAAATTCTCGTATTTTATTTACAAAAGAAAAAATCAATCATTAGCAATATCAAGCATAGAAGAACCCAACTTTTGCTTATTTTCTTCAATTTCAAATAATAAAATCGCAACACATTCATTGGAAAAAATGACTTCACTTCAACGGAACTCGTTTTAATACTCCAGTACGAAATGGTCAAAATTATGAAATCCAAGAAACCAAAAACTTTAGGTTGCTTCATGAATATCTTCAGATTAACCAGAATTCTTGGAAAAGCACTTAGGTAAGAAGTAAGAAGTGATATTATCAGATTTTTTTTTTAATTTTTATAGTCTATTTATATACCTGCATATATATTTTGTATCTTAAGTTTTTAGTTAACGTATTGTAATATAAAATTAGTATACCGAAGTTTTGTATGTCTTGTTACATGCTCGATTGAACTAACAAATAAGATGACCCTCGCCAAACTTAAAATAAAGGTGGTTTTATTTATTTATGTAAAGTTTTTGTTGTCGTTTAAATCATTGTCAAATTGTAAAAATCATCTCTCTGAAATGCATCGTTTCCTCATCTATGGTTGAGTCCTTCAATTGCACTATAAATCTATGTCAATGTCAATAGACAGTGGTCAGGCAAGAATGCAAACTGCTGCCACAGCAATTGGCAGAGGAAGACAACATTCCACATGATTGTCTTTTGTCATTTCTGATTTCAAAATTAAAATTAGGAAATTTTTTCATTGAATCTTGATGATTATGTTTTTTAGATATTTTAGGCTTGGAATAAGATATTGAGATTCGGTTTTCAGCAGCCTATTAAGATATAATTCCACTTTTATTTTAAAAAATTCATCATGTTATTGAATTTATATCAAAATGCACATTCTAGTGGCTTCACTAAGATTTAGGCATAACACAAGTGAGATTGGATGCCTGGAAATTTTCAACAAGACAATTTTTTTTTCAAATCCGTTCAGATACGTTAAAAAGTCTCAAACGAAAATTACCTAAATATTTTATTAAAAAGTTTTTTTTTTGTTAGTTTCATTAATTTAAAAGTTTAAGGTGGCCCTTTTTGGCCAGTTCAGTAACAACGAGACACGCATTTACATTCTTATCTCACCAATCTGTACAACTTTCATTTTTAATCTTATTACTTTACTTAATAATTTTATTTCCCTCTTAATATAGCTATTAGATTTTTTTGTAAATATGGCACCATACTTTCTCAAGTTTACAACTTCAAAAATTTGTTAAAAAATATTAAGCAGTTTTGTTAATCGAAGCGGATGGCAATTTAAATTTCGCGGCCCGCTAAATTGCTTTAGATTGCAAAAAAAACGTACGAAAATTAACTTTAAATTAAACGGACTTGGATATTACTTCGCGAACTTTCAAGCTCGTCTAACGGAAAGTTGGTTATTAATCCTGAGCGTGTGAATTCGCTACTGCGGAAATTAATTTGATTTTGAGCAACCTCCGTGTGCAATTCAAATTAACAATTTGCTGTTAGCCTCGGGTAATAAGAAATTTCCAAGGAAATGAACTTGTGAGGGAGGATAGAGCAAAAAGGGCAAATTCAGAAATTGCAAAAAAATGCTCAAAATTTATTGACGTATATTTTACAAAGAAATGGGATCCTCGACTTATATTTAAATTTTAAATAATTCAGTGACAAATAAAAATTGATCAACAAATTTGCTAAGGACGTTTTGGCAACACAAAAAAATGAAATTCATCCAAAAATTCATTTAAGTCCCAATTTAAAAGCAATTAATTCCTTTTTTGCCTGAAGAGGAGAATTTTTAGTAGCCGCTCAAAGAGTTTTCTTGGTCCCCTCCTTTTACGTTTTATTCGAAATTAAAATTATTCATTTCCTACAAAGCGAAACAGAAATCAAATTGCTTTTTAATATCTCCTGCAGAGGCAAGTTCTTGAGTAACGAAGTAAACAATTATGCTATTTCAGCTCCCATAAGACTAGGCCAATGGTTTCAAAATACGTAAAAGTAGGTGTAATTTTGTCGTATACAGCCTTAAATTGGCACTTGTTCTGATTTACCAAGACATAATTTCAATAAAAAATTTTAAAAAATCTCAAAGTTCCAAATGCATAACGGATCAAAATTGTGTCTGTTATTAACGATGTCAATTTTATTCAAGGAAGGAACAAGATTATTAACCACTTACATTGTACCTTACTCTAGGGTCAACGATGATCTGTTTGGCTAGATTAGGGCTCGAGTTTGATCTCAAGGGAGTCCTTGTTGCTCCCGAACCCTGCAACAGGTCCGGCTTATCGACTTCGGGGCCGCCAAATTCTTGCAGTTGCTGGAGCCAGCAGCATAGCATTGCCTCGATCCCCTCGTCCACCTAAACCCAAAATCCAGAAAGCAAGATAAAGATGAGCAAATATAATACCGAAAGTTACTTAAGGGAGTCACGATTATTATAATTTCGAGAGTGGTACAACCTTTCATTTGAAAATTTATTAAGAGAAGTAAGAAGCTAGTTCCCAGTTTTTCCTTTATTTGTTTTTTAGTCAGTGTCATTCCATAGCTTGTCAACAATTTTACTTCACATATTCGCAAAATAACATTCGGTGAACCTCAACAGTACAAAATTGTTTTAAAACAGCCATTTTTTCAGTTCATATTTGAAATTTATTATTATAGAAACAAAATTTCGTCGATGGATATGACTAAAGCTTAAGTGCGGGTACGTAAATGTGACGTCAATTTGTCCATCGGCATAATCGCGTTTTAAATCTGAGCGACGATGTCATTTTCTAAATTGAATAATGCTTTGATATTCATCAACTTTCCCGTTGATATTCATTAACCGCTTTTATTAAATTTGTATCTTGTCACGGGAATGATTGGGTCGATAGCTGTTCAGAAATATGACCATTTTTTATTTAATGATATTTATCAAGGAGCACCTGAAGAGAAAAACGCAGGGAACAATTTTTAGAATAGCCGAAGAATCACCTGGAAAAATGTCAGTGGCGCATAATATTTTTCTTCAAAAATATGCGATGCAAAAATGCCGAAAAATGCCGCTTGATTAACAGGTTGCATTTACAAAATTTCACAAAGATATATAAAATCGTTTTTTAGAATTACCAGAAATACAGCGATACAAAATACCATATCAACTCCATCGTTGAGGACACCGTTTATCAAGGAGGTTTAAGGGAGAAAAAGGTCGATTAATGAATATAAAAACTGGAATGAAATAGGAGACAAATGGTCAGCGAAAATCAAGGAACTTTACAGTTGTGAAGGTATTACATCTTCTCAGCAGGAAGAACAGAGAGAAGGTCGATGACCGAAGTATAGAAATTACCCCGGAAGAACTAGATATCGATATTACAAAATTACATTTTAATAATTGACTTTTGAAATATGGAGGGGCCACATTAATAAAAAAATTTGCATGTCCAATTGCAAAAGACATTGGATATGAACATATTTATCAGACCTATGGAAATAAAGTATTACAACACCAACACGGGAAATAAGAATGATCTTAGTAACTACTATTCCATAACGTTGCTCAATACAAGGCTCAAATTGCTAACTATGATTTTGACCAACACAAGCACCAAAAATAAAATAAAAATATAGAACAAGCTAACACTAGAAATATAAAATCTCGTATACGAATAGGAAATAGCCTAAGCCCTCTATTATTCACCATAATGATGGACAAAATTATACAGAAAGCAAAACATGCGGGACAAGGTCTCAATGAAACTGATAAAAATTGTGTGTTCTACACGGTGACATAAAAGCAACAGCACTCAAGCACGCCAACAAAGCAGTTAACACATAGGGGTGCTTAGGGGATGTCATCTGGAAAGATAAAGCCCAGACATGTGTTAGGCCTATTGACATATTGCATCGAGACAAGACCCGATACAGCGAAAACAACGAGGATTTTAAGGACCACAAAAATGAAACGTTGAGATCAATAGCAGAGACAATATTGCTTGACAGAGGGCCGAATGGTTAAATAAAAGATTTTTGTAATGTTTGGGATATTGTGCGGTGGGTAAACAGAGAAGAAGGAAGTGAAACCAGCATGTTAGCAGAATGAGCCCCAAATATCAGCCCAACTAAAACCAACAGGAACAGATGGTGGAGGCCTAATATAAGAAGAAGTTTGTCAGATAATATAAAAAAGAATTTTTCTGAAAACTTTACCAAAAAGTAAGACGTCTAACAGATACGTTTGTAGTTATAAATTGTTTTCTTAAAATTAACTCAAAAATTCGGTTCAAGAAGAAGAGAAGAAGAAGAATTTTGTTAACCACATATAGTATATAAAATAATACAATTGCAGCCAGTCAATTTAAGGTAAAATACAAAAACAAAATGTAAAAAGTATAAAGGTGTAAACAAAAGTATTTTATAAATAACACAATAGTGAACAATTCCAAATGTAAAGCTCAACAACACTAACACGGAGTATAAAAATCGTACAGAAAGTGCAAGATAGTATGCTAAGATCTTCGCACATTTCAGTAACCCAAGGATTTTAATTTAGTTTTTTTATTTTGTTGGAGTACTCGTCCACACTATAGAAACAATTTTCGATAAGAACACTTTAACATTAGTTTCGAATACCTCAAAAGCCATATGTCTGTACCTATCTGGCAGCATATTTTACAAGTTAATGTTTAAAGAATTTTTGTCTGATGTAACAAGTCTGTGCTTTGGAACTCTTATAAGATTTTTTGCACGTGTTGGATAACTATGAGACACACCTTCAAATATATTATAGTATATTTGTTAATTTCTAAAAGATTGTGGGGAATATAGATACAGGGCAGTGTCACTATCTTATATTTTTTAAAATATGGAGTACAGTGTTCATTGTGCATAGCCCCAGCAAGAATTCTTATAGCCCTTTTCTGCATCCTGAATATTTGAACAGCATTGACAGAGTTTCCCCCCCAATATTGTTCCATATGATATGTGGGAATGAAATAAAGCATAATACACCATCATTAGGGCATTTGGGTCTAGGCTCTCCCTAATATTTCTAAGCTAGTTTTCGCTTAAGAGATAAAATATGATCTTTGCAGTCAAGTCAACTACCAAGTGTAAAGCCAAGTAATTTAGCCGACTTCCGTTCGCCGTTGTTGTATTTATCTAGCGAAAACAATATCTTTTGAGCTTTGTCCGTATTCAATTTCAAATAATTGTTTTTAAACCAATTGTTCGCATTGCTCTCCAGTTCTCCAATAATGTTGTTCAGTACCCAATTCTGGGAATACACTATGTATCCTCGAGTCAGCTTATATGAAGTTGGCATTACAATATGCGAAACTGTTTTGGAGTTTAATAATCAATAAAAATTCGAAACGAAATCCACGATATCGAAGGCTGATCGCGTTACCCGATATTCTTAGCGTATTTGCCGAATATTCGTTTCCATAAGGGGCGGCGGATCAGCGAATTAAACCAATCCCCGTCAAATTGCGTTATCGCTTTTAGAAATTCAACACGAACTTTGGATAGCCGAGTAAATTATCTCCACTAACTCCACAAAGTACACTTTAAAGGCTGTAATTAACAAATAAGTAATTAGAAACCTTAGCGAAACAATTTTATTAAATGCCTAAAAAGAGTCAATAAACCAAAAATATAAGAGTAGTTAATTTAAAATATGAAAGAGTATGTGGTGGACTTGAACATAGTGATGTACATCGGCCGGATTTTGCTACCGATTTAATTCACATACTTGTACACAGAAATTCATTACACAAAACCCATTAAATAACCATAGGTTTTTAAAAATGCGTTTGTGATTTGTAAGAAATGCCTTTTTAATCCAATTGCTGCATTTGTTGTGGGAAATGTGACTTCTAAAATCTAAAATGGTATTTATGGACTTTGATATTGATATTGCAATATTGCGAATTTTGCAAAGAACTTGGATTCCGACGAATCGTGTATTTCCAAAACACGTTCAAAGGCATCTGATGTGGTTTGCCTTATTACGAGGTGGAGAACATAAAGTCCTGCTATCAAAACTTGCAACTTGTAGCTGTCACTCGAAAGCCTGAATGTATTGTTTACTATAGATAAAAATATTGTATTTCTGGAATACATTAATACGTTAAACTTGCAAACATATTGGAGTGTTTGTAGAGTGACATAATTTTTAATAATTATAACAAATGATTGTATAAAAATCTCTCAAAGTCTGTCGAGTTTCTTGATTAGAACTCTTGTATATTTATTACACTTATTCTAATTCCCTTTTTTTCCTACCTGTTTGAGTAAATTTTAGGGTACTTTTTGTTGGAGATCTGCCATCAGTTATTTTCGGGACTCGGATATAGAAAACAAGAATTTCAATATCGTTGTTCGATTCGATGTAACAGCAGGTAATGGGCGCTTATATGTTCAATTCAATTCAACAACAAGATTTTGAATAATAACTTTGAAACAAAATTTTTAGTAATTCACATTTTTCATATTAAAAAATGAAATCCAACTTGATAAATAAATATAAATTCAATCAATAGTCACTAGTCTTTAAAACAATTTAGGATAGTTTTTTACTTAAACATCACAGTTCAGTTCACAGCTAAGTTTAACATTTTAAATGGCATTATTAATAATACAATTATTAAAATTTAAATATTTTTACATTAAAATGTCATACACCAAAGAGTTACCCATTACCGTAACAAGCGTAACATTTTTAAACTCTTTTAGTTGAACGTCTGGAGGTGGGGAAATTGTTTTATACATTCTTAACGAAATTTTCCGAATTTTAAATTATAACGCAATTTTTCGTCGTAGTGTTAAGTGCAAAAATTATAAACAAACAAACAAAAAATTCTCATTACGAATGGATATTTACCGACGATATGATGTGATTCTATTTGCCGTGTAAATTAAAGGACTTTCGCAAAGTCTTTGGCTTAATTCCATCCCACACAAGAAAGTTAGTAGAAGAAAGGAATAATAATTAAGGCAAACTGACAATAGATTCTAGCGAGAGCTTCAATCTTCGATGTTTATCCGGAAAAGCTAATCCAGATTATTCGGGTGGGAACTGAAACGATGTTCAGATATATAAAGTCACTCCCCAAGACATCTAGAAATCCCTTCATAAAAATTCCATCCGCGTTCCTCTGAAGCCGATCATTGTTTTACCTTCTGTCTTTTATATTTGCGCTCGGATGCACATTAGAATGTTAGACACCTATCATACCAGAATAATCTATAATATCACTTGTAAAAGAAGAGATTTGGAGAATTGTGTTTTATATTAAATGGATGGAGAGGGCAGTAAGTGATTAAATACCATAAATGAAAACTAATTGCCTAATTAGAAGTCTAAAATATACG